GAAAAGGGAACTGGGAAGGGAAAATTGAAGGACATTAACATCTAAGGAGTATACAGAAAAAGAGAAGTCAACAAAAGAGATAGACAAATCGTAGGCAGGAAAATAGGTTAGCTGGGAGAAGGTAGTCTCTGGAGAAGCAAGAAAATAAAGAGCTTGAGAAATAGAGTAAACAACAGTATGAATGCAGGCTGAGTAGGATAAATAAAGTCATCAGATTGGCATTTAAGAGATCATTGGTGATGATCATTCTATGTGAACATTTATGTGGAGTATCCAGAACAGAAGCCACAAAACAGAGGATTAATGAATGTTTAAGAGATAAGGATATGGAGGCAGCAAGTTTTACACTTATATTGTGAGCAGTTTAAAGGTCAAGAGAAGAAAAGATACTAGCTAAAAGTCAACAGAAGTTAGTTGCAAATAAGTTGGGTTTTTTAAATTGTTCTATTTTTTATTTTAACATAAATGTTGTTTGAGTATATTTATAGGATGGGGTAATAAAAATAACAATGGAGGGACTGAAGATAGAAAGGGATATTTGATGGAACAAAATCCAAATGGAGGAACCAAGAGCTTAAGTTGAACAACATTTTACTTGGAAATGAGGCTTTTTTTCCATAGAAAAAGTGGTGGAGTTTGCATTTATTAAAGGATTTTCTGCAAAAATCTTGAAGAGGATATGAAACCCACCAGACTAATGATCAAATTTTGGCCGCTGTGAAGATGAAGCCAGGGAGTGCTCATCCTCCCTAACCTGCACTTCTTTGGATGAGGACATAATAGAACCCTAACGCTGATGAGCTGAACATGAGGAAAGGCAGCTTAGTAGCCTGGAGAAAAGAGAAAGGAAATGAGATAGTAATGAACACTGTGCAAAAGGAATAAAATTCACACTAAAGATCCTTAACTTCTTCCATACAAAGTCTTCATTTTTCAGGAGTTTGTATTGAGCTATCTGAAGAATTTAACTGCCACTTTCCAACCCACTAGTTATATCTCTAGCAAGAGCTTGATGGATGGTTTGACGATCACTGTTGTAAGAGGCTGAAATAACATGTACTCCCTTTAGGTCCCCTAGGGAAAGAATTTACACTTGTAAAAAAGATACCGAGTGGGTATGGTAACCATATTTTTGAAACCAAACAACTATCAGGACATAATCTGACATGGTCTGGCAATGAGACAAAAAATTGAAATCAGGACTAACTTGGCAACTCCAGAGTATATGGTTGCTAAGGAGCGAGAGATTTCAAATGCAAAAGTATTCTATTAATAGTCAAGGCAATGTATCTGTCCAAGGAGAAGGATCACTCTGGATACCAGGAATCCATTTGAGGGACTCCCTTCATGCTTCTCTCTGTCCTCACCTCCTTCCTCAAATATTTGGTAAATGCCTACACATGCAAGGATGGACACCCAGGATAGAAAGTTAAGTAAGATAGGGCTCATGGGAAGAGAGAGATTTATAAGAGAACAATTAGAAAAGAACATTGTATAGACAGTAATAGCAAAAAGCAGTTAGCGCAGAAGCCTGAGCTACTAACTGCCTGTGATGAGCAACCTCTGGGAGATTTGCAAAAGGGGGTGATGAGTGAACAGTCTTTCAAAAGGAAAAGAAGTGAGCCTTAAAAAAAAAACAAAAACAAAAAAAAGAACTTAAAAGATACCTTGCCTGCTCACTATCTATAACAGACAAGTTATTTATATGACCACAGCTCAAAGGTGCATAATATCTCAACAGTGTGAAAACTCAGAGACTACCTGCTTATGACTCTGGTTCATTCTGGTCGTTAGAACCACACTTTACCAGTCTAGGTTTTGGAATTCCCAAACTTTTTATAGGGTGTGGACAAAATCTATTTTGAAAGTTTTACTCTGAATTCAGAATTTAACTCAGTATTCTTAAATTTTCATTGTGTATATTCCTCTTTATATGGAACCATTTTGCCAGCCAATTAAGTTGTTCAGGTTCGCATGCATTCAGTTTCTAATTTAGAATAAATTTATTAACTGTGACTTTTGAATGCTTGAAATTTTTTCTTTTTTTCTTTCTTTTTTTGTTTTTAATAATAACTCTAATGATACAAAGAATGCAAGTTAATTTTGATATTTGATGTCATAGTACTTATAAATTAGGCTAAGTTTTAAACCTTTGTGAAAAAAATTTAGATAGCCTTTTACCTTTCCACAGTAGCCAATAATTTGTAAAATGTGCTATTGGTAATTTAAGCAATAAACTCTCAAAGCCCAATTCTTACAAACTTTAGGGAATTTGTAGGAGGAAGGAAAGTTTCCTCAATTTGGGCACATAAAGAAAGAACTTAAGAATTGGTAAATTTGATGCCTAAAGAGATTGTTTTATAATTGATGAGGGTGATATTTATGCCCATTATTATTGCAAAATACCTGCAATTCGTATATTGGCCTTAAAATTACTGTTCCTATTTTAATGGTTTAATGATTTGGATCAGATAAGCATCAAATACTTAATTGAAACTAAAAATTTTCTGTGTTTTTTTGTGGCCTGCTTACATGAGAGGCATTCTATCTGCACCTACTTAGAAACACATGCTTCTATCAGGAAATGAAAATTATCGTCCAATATTTAAATTGCTGCAGTTTGACAGTTTCAGATTTTCAAGTAATAACTAATTATTTGATAAGAAATTTCCATTCACCAAATACCTAAGGTGGACTAAAATAATTATAATTTCCCATAAAATTTAAAATAATTTATGGGAAAAGGGTATAATTTCCTACAACTGACCCATCTAACCATTTTTGTATGACTTTAAAGTCATTAACTTGACAGGTGAATAAACACCCTCAATATGTATATCAAACTAATAGAGAAATAAAATACACATTTTAAATAAGAAGCAACCCCATTTCCTGAAGAAAACCCTACTCTTAGAGCCATTTCCCTGCAAGTGGCAGATGTGTGGGTGGGGAAGCACCACCTATCCCCCCACACAGTTTGCTAAGGAGAGGGAGCCTGAAGAAAACCATGGGAGGGCTTCTCTCTCATTCCCTATTCCTCAACATTTTTATCCAAATGAAATCAGGTTAAAATCGGTATTAGGGCAGTAGCAAGAAAATATAATAAACATTCAGCCTGCATGGCAGGCAATCCGCATATGTTTTCTGGGTTAAGGTTTGGGGAGTTACAGTTTATTAGGCTAATTGTGTTTAAATCCATATTAGTGTCAGATCTTTTTTAAACAAGTACTATCTAATTGTCTTTCTCAATCACTGCCTTACAACTGATTATAGCTGAATGGAACCCTCAGAAAGTATAAGACTCAAGAATATCTAGTTTTCCAACTCAGAGAAGTCTATATCTGTTGTAGTAGCCTATGTGTCTGTGGGTAAGAGCTGTGAGCCTATCTGATGATAGAGGCAGAAAAAAGAGGGTCCAGAAGAATCACATTGGCTCTGATAGAGGAGCAGAAACTAATCAATCCTAAAATCACCTGAATTTAAGTCAAAATTGGCATCAAGGATTGGTTTGACTTAATCAATAAAGCGTCAGATGCCAAATGAAATTTTGGGTTTCCATTCCAACGTTTTCAGTCATGTCAATACAACCTAGAGCTTCTCAGCTGCTGAAGTATGTAAATAATACTTCTTCTTAGCAGTTTCTTAGTATTAGAAAATGCTCTTGGAAGATTACAGGACCAGTGTATACTACTGGGGACACTTTTTGGTCCTGGGCTGGCTCCCAGGAGTTTTAATTGATATTGGGTCCTAGATTTATCTGGTGTCCTTCTTAGGTTCTCCTGTTTATACTAAGTCCTCCTTTAATTTGTTCTACTCCTGAAAGTTGGCTTTATCCCATCGTCTTTCAATAGTAGACCAGCTTGTGGAAGAACTATAGGTACTAATGGTAGGAAACTAAATTTTTAAAGACTCAAAGGAAGATTGACTTAAATTTCAGAGAATATTCTAGATTTCCCTTTACATGAATTTCTATCAGCTTGATACAATACATCTATTGTACGTCATTGTTTTTTGACAACTAGTTTGCAAAAATATAATTAGCAAACAGGATAAAATTTTCTAAAATGCTGGTAAAGTTTCTGTTGATCCTTCACTTTAATTACAAAAACATTCTGCCAAGTAAACAGATAGATGTGTTCATTTATTTGTGTTTATTTATAGTATAAGTTATTTTGTAATATTCATTAACATTATTTTAAGAACTGAAATCAGATAAAATGAATAGTTGGCTTTTAAAGATTGCACTGTAAGAATAAGCATTAAATAACTTTATCTTGATTTAATTATTTTTATTTTGTCCCCAAATTTTCTTGACAGCTTAGCTTCAAGCTAAAAATATTTAAATACTTAAGGAAAAGTAAAATAAAACTCAAATGTGAAACTTGGAACCTTGAACTCTGAATTGCAAATTGGCATCTGGGAAGAGAAGCCAGGCCTATCACCTTCAGAGAAGCATCACAGTGCTTGGATAATTTGTTTTTCCTATTACTTTTAATTCCATAGTTTGAAAAATATGAAAATATCTTCAAATAAGGCAAAACACAATACTCCCAAAATTAATTTTTAATCAATATTTTTATTTTTAATGGGCCTATATATTTACAGGGGTATTAAAAATTAAAATATATTTTGAAGCAACACATATTCAACTGATGTATAACATGTTAGGTTTTCTAAGTGATGGAGTTATCATGTTCTAGAGGTTATTTTGTCATGCCTTGCATCCCATTGCTGTAACCAACAAAGGCTTTGCTATCTAGCTCTTATTTGTATGCATGCTATGCCTTTCAATCAGTTTTTTCATACATAAAAACTCTTCTGGTTGTTTTAGAATTTCCTAAATTTTGCTTTTGATTTCAAAGATAAAAAAAGGAAAGAAAAAAAGGTATATACTTCCTATATTGTTTGACGTTTACCTTATAACAAGCAAAATGCTTGTAAGAGAAACAGAGGCATGCTGTCTCAACGCCAAAGTAATATTGCTTATGGTCTCTCTGCAGCTAGATCCTGAAGCTAGTACTATTCTAAAAGAACTTCAAGTTAAACTCAATGGGGTTCTGGATGAGCTCAGCGTCACTTATGGTGAAAGGTAAGTGGCCTAAGTAATTATTCAAATGTATTAGGTTTCAGTTAATAATAATCATGCCTTCAATGCTATCTCTCTCTTCTGACTGGCTAAATCCTTGTAACTTTAAGACTCAGTCTGCACTATCTCCTCGCAAAGTCTTCCACGACCCCACAATCTAGTAGTGTATTCTTCAGTCAGGTAGCATTTACAACACTATGCCCTAAGTTCTGGTTTGCTTGCCTGGTTCCCTCACCTGCTTCTGAAGGAGAGAAGCCGTAACTCATTCCCTTTTGCAGTTCTAGGGTTTAGAGTTGAAAGAATGGAGGGAGGGAGGAAGGCAGGGAGAAAACCTTTATGTACATAAGTCTGAGTTGCCTTCATGCCATACATATCAAGGTGGTTGCACTTCCAAATAACTGAACTCCAACCCCAAAACTGAATTAATTCAGGATTCTAGGTTTTAGGGCTTAGGAATCTTAATGCAATTACCCCATGGGAAACTACTGGCACATCTATATTTTTTCCATTTTTTAAAAATTAACTTTGCTTGTCTATAGTGTTCTAAAGAGAAAGAAGTTCATCTTAGATAAACTTCATTTTGATCCTAAAGGAAAAAGCCATCATCTCACCATCAAATGTTAAAATAGATAAAATAGATAGATAAACATAAAATTTTTAAAAAGCAAACACATCTTTGAAGAGGCTCATTAATTTCATACAGAATTTGATTTAAATATTAGTTCATTAAATGTTGACTTATTATTTCAAACTATGTGTTTAGTTCTCAAAAGAGACTATAAAAATTACTCCTATGGCAAGGGCTACCTATCTCTTTGAACCCCACTTGTCACTTATTATTGTGTTTTGGAAAGATATATACTTAATAAACATTTGCTGATTAGTTATGCCACTTTTAAATCAGAAAGACTAAAAAGAAAAAGACGCTGAAAGCTTCATATTTTTTCTCAAATATAGAAATGAGGCAAAGTAAAGAAAAATCCCACACTTGGCCTTCTCTTCAGTATCAGAAGTGTGTTCATAGTCTTTATGGAGCCCATCCTCCTAACTCAGGTGCTGAACCAGTTGCAGTCTTACTGTACTGAGCTTAGGGTAGTTGCTCTGCCTTCTGCTTTGTGTTGTTAGCTGACCTGGATGAGCCTGCTTACTTGGCATACATGTTAATAAGCACTTTAAAGTCTCTGTTTACCTGGAGTTGGAGAGGCAGACATTTGGGGGCTTACTGGCTCTGACTTGGGATGACACTTAGCAATGGGGTCTTCAGTCAGCCATTTTAGGCTTATCTCTCTTTCTTCTACTTGTGAATTAATGTGTGGTTAGCAGAAAGACTGTTGCCTTCAGCTAGGAAGGCAAAATAGAGATTATTTAGCAAAGTTAAGGGGAGGAAAAAGGGGTTAGGAATGACTAGGGGTGTTCAGAACCTTATGGGAAATAAGATGACTAAACAGAAACTAGAATGTAAATAGAAAAAGTATATTCAAATTACTTTATGTAATATACCCAAATCATCCTTATAAACAAGTACTTTTTATTCTGTTTTGTTTTGTTTGAGAGGGGAGAATATTCAGGTTACAAAGGCTGAAATATGAATTATGATTTGAAAAACTCTGAGCAGACTTCAGTTATGAAATAAGGGGTGGCGCCCTTAGGATGGCGCTTTAATTACTTTATTTGTATGAAGCCAGCTATTTTAACCTAGATATTGAAACTCCTGGTTACCCAGTATCTATTTTCTCATTATTTTTTAAATACAGGAAAGAATTTAATGCTTTGTTCAAACAGGGCTAAGATTATTGGAATAAACAGCCCACATGTCATGCTTTCCTTATATAAAGCATAATTAGTGTATCTTTGTTGCTATGGATTTATTCCCCACACTACCAACCAAGTCTACATCACACACACAGGGTGGGTGGGAAGTCTGTAATGATCAGTGTAACCATCCTGTGGTCAAACTGGATAATTTTAGTCTGAATCCACCCTTCTCAAGAGTCTGAATTAGCAGTGTGGAGTTTTAAAATTAAGTGCATAATGAATTGCCCCAAATCCATTTCATCTGGTGTTATTAAAACCTGCAATTAAATAATTTTACTATATGGAGCTGGTAGGATGATTTTTCAGTAAAGCCGGGGCAGAGCCAAAGCACACATCAGAAGCCCAGGTTCCTGACATGCTCACAGGGTACCCACATGAGAACTGAGACTAAGTGATATAACTTCAGTGATATCTTAAAGATGTGCCCAAAATTTTCAAAACTTGTGCCACTTGGGTTTCTGCGTACACACGTATTTTGCAGTTTGTTTTTTTGGTGTACTACATTTCTTTTAATGATACCTTTGGTACCAGCAGCTGACTGGATTGAGTAAACAAGGAATTCAGGAACATTTCACAGGAATTCTTCTGTGCATGTTTGGCTTCTTGGGTGCTCACAAAGTTTGTCATTATTAACTGGTACTGCTTTTATTCAAGCTGAAAAATAAAGGCCTTTTCAACGAAAAAAGAATAGAAAAAAAGACTTTTTAGGTGAATTTACCAAAAATTGATAGAGAAAAAAATTTTTTAGGTCAAATGCAGGTGTTGATTCACCCTGGATTAATGCTAAGGTAGAATGTCATTATCGCTTATACACTGATAACCTGTCTTCCATATGGTTGATCCCACACACACAGCTGGCTTCTGGTGGAAGTTTACTGTATGGGTCTGTTGTAGGAACCTGTTTGCATATTTTCGGAACATGAGTATCGTACCTTCTGCTCAGTGTATCCTCCACCCCATTACACTGATTTGAGAATCAGTGCAAAGAAAGTAGCTATTTCAAAGTTGATTATTACTACAGTCAGCAGGATCATTGATACCTGTTGGTAAATCAACCAGTTCAAAATTTCCAACATTATTTATCTTCCTTTTCTATTGCCTCAAATATCTACCACCACTACCCCCACTAAATACACACACCACCACCAACTCCACCCCCTTCTCCACTATCCCCACTGCCACCCCCCCCCAGCCCCCCACAACCACTACCTGACAAGAGTCCAAAGGCAGATCCAGCCAGATAAAAACCAAATGGTCAGGTATTTGGATTCCTTTGGGTCTGAGCTTGAAAGAGGATGTTCCACTAAATTAGATAAATATGCACAGAGCCAAGAAATGAGCCACATCCATAGAAGAAAACTGAGATCCAAGGATCAAGGAACCAAATACTGATGCCAAGTCCAGAGGGGCAAGAATGCCATTGTCAACAGTAAAGAAAGTCATGGAGAAGTCAGGAGCCAAAGATGGAAACAGGCCAAACATGATGGTGGAGATAGAATCAAGCCTTGCCTATATGCTCAAAATTGTGGACCAATGTATTTATAAATCTGCTATAAAAGAGCTAGGAGCAAGAAAACCACCCAAGTTGTGATAATTTAAAATCTATCAAAGATTTCTCACATTAGGTAGCAAAACCAATAACTAGAAAAATGAAATATTTGACAACAGGCCAACTAAAATATTTCCATAATGTAAATTCTAAAATGAAGGATCTCATACGTGCCATAAGAACAAGAAATTTTGTCTGTTTTGTTCATTGCTGTATCCTCAGCACCTAGTAAATGAGACTGGCACGCAGTATTTATTAAATATTTGTAGAATGCATGCATTAATAAGTAGATATTTATATTCTTCCTATTTAATTAATAATGAAAGCATTATATAGTGAGAATTCCTAAACTTCTATATAAAATTTGAGGAATAGATGCATTTGGATGCTTCTCAAATAACATGAACTGTGTAATCATTGTGTGTGGAGAAAGAAGAGGAATGAGACTGACTTGATTGCAATACTAAAACGAACTCCCTCGTTCTCATCACCATTCCAGTGATGTCATCATTTCCCAAGCTTTCATTTATCCTTATTCTCCTAAAGGGCTTTTTTCTTGCCTGCCTACATATGTATTATAATTACACCTATTGTTGGAAATGTGAAAGTACCAGACAATATAGAGGAATGGTGGATATGCCGAAAGTCTCCACTACTTAAATCTCTTACTTTTTGCCACTGCTTAGGTAAGAACCACCAAAACTGATGTGAGGGGTATGAATAATGAAAATGGATACTGAAGATTGCTCTTCACAGACTTATTTAAATCCTTAGGATGGCGAGGCAATACGGGTGGGTGGAAAGAGGATGGTCCATTGATACATTCAACCAATATTTCTAGAACAACTCATGGTGTGAGTATGTAACACTGAACAAAAAAAAGTAAGTCCCAGGGCCAGCCCAGTGGTGTAGTGGTTAAGTTTGCACACTCTGCTTCGGCGGCCTGGGGTTTGGATCCTGGGTGCAGACCTACACCACTTGTCGGCCATGCTGTAGCAGGTGTCCCACATATAAAGCAGAGGAAGATGGGCAGGGATGTTAGCCCAGGGCTAATCTTCCTAAGCAAAAAGAGGAAAGTTGGCAAGGGATGTTAGCTCAGGGCCAATGTTTCTCACCAAAAAAAGAAAGTCTCTGTCCACATGGAGCTTACACTCTAGTTGGAGCAACAGGCAATAAACAAATAAAAAAAAAACTATGAAATGTGTCAAATAATGGAGAGTGCAATTTAAAAAGAAAGAATTGTAAGAGAATGGAGAATGATAGGAACGTCATTTCGGGTTGAGTGTTCAAGGAAAACTTCTCTGAGGAAGTGACATTTGGCAAATGCCTGAAATAAGTGAGAGACCAAGAGAGCCATGAGAAATTCCATGGAGGAGGGAACATAATAGTGGCCATGAGATAAGAGTGTCCTCGGAGAATTCTAAGAACACCAAGAAGGCTCTTGTGGGTGGACTGCAAGAAGCAGAGGGAAGAATGGCAAGAAATGAGATCAGGGAGGTTTCCAGGGCCAGGTTATATCAGGATTTAATGAAGTCCATGGAATGCATTCTAGGTTTTGTTCTAAGTGGATCTGGAAGCCATTGGAGATTTTTAGCAAGGGGGTGGGGCATGATCTGGTTTCTATTTTAACAAGATTTTTCTGTAGAGGGTTAAACAGAGAGACAATTTAAGAAATTATCACAGATATTCAAGCGAAAGATAATAGTAGATTGGTCTATAGTAGTGTTGTGGAAGTAATAATAGATCTTCAAATTTAGGATCCTTTATAAAGATTTGCTGATGGATTAGATGTTGGATATGAGGAAAACTCATTAGACTTCAAGTAGAAGGTTACATAGGCAGTTAATATGACTGCCTGGATTTCAGATTAGAATGCAGGTTTACAGATGTATATTTGGGAATCACCACTATACAGATAGTATGAAAGCCACGAGGCTAGGTATAATTGCCAAGGAAGTGATTTTTGATGGAGAAGTGGAGTGGTCCAAGGATTGAGCCTAGAGGATTACAATGTTGGGTTGCCAGAATAAAATACATGATATCCTCAATTAAATTTGAGCTTCAGATAAAAATGGATAATTTTTAGTATAAATATGTCCCAAATATTTCATGGGGCATACTTATACTAAAAAATATTCACTATATGAAATTCAAATTACCTAGGCATCCTGTGTTTCTATTTGCTGGCAACCCTACTCCAATGGTTATGGGTCAGACATTTGAGAAGGAGCAGCCAGTGAGGTTGGAGGAAAGCCAAAAGGGTGTGGGGTCCCAGAAGCCAAGTGAAGAAGGTGTATCCAGATGCCAAGAGTCTTTCAAGAACAGTCATTTTTCCAAATAATGCTCTGAGGAACATCTTAGCTATTATTGTGAGAGATGGGGGCCAAATGAACCCCACTCAAATTAATTCAACCTGAAGAGCATTACATGCAAGGGTTCCAAGTAAGCTTTCGTTGCAACAAAAGTTTTTGCAGCTGAACAATAAGTTTGAAAACTAATGAGGAAGGGAATTCATACCATTTGAAACAGATCAAACTCCTTGGGGTTGAATTAAAAAGATACAGGCAAAGAAAGGCATAAATGCCTGCTTTTCTTCCAAAATTTGTATTCCTTATTTTTAGTGTCCAGCTGATCATTGAAGAGTGCATAAAACAGATGAGTTTTGAACTAAATCAAATGAGAACAAATGGAAATACCACATCTAATAAGAACAGTGCAGCAATGGATGCAGAGATTGTATTAAGACCTCTCATGGACTTCTTAGACAAAACGTAAGTTTTCTACTCAGTTTTCTCTTTATTCATAGGCCTAAATTTGACTGATAGGGGTTTAAGAACAAAAATTGTTTTCTTTTATGTAAGACAGCTTTCTAAAGGCTTCTACAAAAATATATTAATTCATTAAAAAGCAAAATATTTTTTGTTCCTTAGTAGGTGGGGAAAAAAGCAGGAGTGACTGTACAAGAAAGGAAAAATGGAGAGGAAATAAACATTGGTAACTAAGGAGGCTGCTGCTCAGAGAGGGAGAGATTTACGATCTCATGCTCCTCTGATAACACATTGTTTTGCAACCTCTGGGACATAGAAAAACACTGAGTTGAGTCCAGAATATCTGATTTCATGTCAGAAACCTGCTGAAGAAGAGATTAACACAAATGTGACTAGAATTAATTCAGCTCAGAGGCGAGTAGATTGCTGCCCAATTCAACCTTCAATAACTAATTATTGAGTGCCCATGTGTATCAAACCTTATTCCAGGTACTAGATAGTGATGAAAAACAGAGTCTACGTCCCTGACTCCATGGAGATTACAGTCTGGCAGTGGAGGGAGGGAGTGGGAATGGAGGTCTTTATGACCAGTCAAGACAGTGTTCTGAACCAAAAAGGTTTATTTGTTTGTTTTTTAATGCTTCTGCTTAGTCCCTACTCTTAGAGTTTCTAAATTCTTAAGTTTGGAGCAGGATCATGGCATTTATATTTTAAAATGTGTTCACAACTGGGAACCATTGATCTAAAACAACCAGAGACATGATTTCATAAACGGTGACACAAAACCAGAACTGAAGGTAGAAGAGAAAAGTAAAAAATAATTTTGAATGCCCACCAAGGGACCAATGTTATACCTGGTAGTTTACATATGTTTCCTCATTTAATATTGTTGTGGCAAATTAATTAATACCAAAGGGATCAAGGGTAAATAAGAAGGATATAATACTTTTCTTTAAAGATAAGGACAACAAAGAAAGAATCAGTAGGGAGAACCTCTTCTATATATTTATAAATTCTACTTTACTTCCATTTCCCTTTGCTTATAATCCTATTGTGTAAGTAAGACTAATGTTCTTATCACTTTAATTGCAATATTTGGCAGAAAAATTGTCTTACTTTATGTTCTCTATGAGGAAATATCTAGGTGAATAGGTAGTTAGGTAGCTTAACAGGATGTAGGTAGGCAGGTGGATGCAGAAGAAAAAAGTAGGAGAAAGAAGAGAGGGAGAGAGGGAGGAAGAAAAGAGAGAAAAGGAAGAAAGACTTCTTCATTTCTTTAGTTTCTTAATGTAGACGTTTACTCTTATCATCTAATTTCCAATACAATCCCTTGAAATTTTGGTCTTATTATATGGCTCTTTTCTATGGACAATACAGAATTGAATTACATAAACACACTACCATTTGGTTGTGAATGTGATGGTGAATGGAGAACAGAACAAAGCAATCCTGATTCTCTTAAAACTCCTACTGAAATGACTTCTGTTTTTGAAACTCTAGCCAGCGGTTTGGAGATATATCATTTATCATTAGCAAAACTAGTTATTTTTGTATATACTGTAATCAAAATTTGTGGAACATACAGAAAGTTTTAAGTTATCCTGATGCTGTTATCTACTAGTTGAGGAACCTTGAATCCATTTCATCATCTGTAAAACAGAGCTATTACATAAAGTGAGTTGACCTTTATTTTCAGTCTATTTAGATTCTTTACTCAGTCTTAATTTTCTATTTATTATAATTAATTATATCATTATATATGTCATTTATTCTAATTCTTAGTAGAAAGATACAGTGTATAAAGATAGAAAAACATCTACAATCTTTAAAAATTTGTGAAAGAGATTTAAAATTTTTGGAAAGAGATATTATATGAGGCATGGAGAGTTGCAGAAATTCTCAGGGCTAATACAAAATGCATAACCATACAGCCATTTGTTAGGGGAGATTTTTAAAAGTCAGATATTAATTCTATTCTCAAGGAGCTAATAGATTAGGAAGAAAAAATAAGAAAGGTACACAAATAAACACAATAATGTGTAAAGTAATAATCTCCTGTTCAGACCATCAGTAGACATTTCATTTGGGTTGGCAGTAGGGTCTGGATGTATGGCAATGAGGGATGGGCATTCCAGTAGGAGGGAGAACAGCTGGATATCTTTTCATGAAAATATAATCAAGTGTATGATGGGAAATCTCTATTGCCAGCTGGTATACATGGCATTTGAAAATTGTATGGTTAATTGGTTCTGTGGTCAACCAAAATAGATAGCTCAGGTTCCAAAATATATGTATCTTGCATTATCAAGCGGGTTAACTCTGACTAAATTAGGAAGCAGTTGCTAGATTTCCCCTTTATTTTCTGCTATTTGAAATGAACAATAGAGGCTGAAAGTCTTCAAGGTGGTTTCGAGAAAATCCCCTTGGAAATCACGTTATATTATAAATGTACATGTTCTCTTTGTCTTTGTGCAGCCTCTCTAAAAAACAAAAACATTTCATGTCTTTGTGTTTCATTTTCTTCACCAAGACCTTACCACTCTATAAAATGAGCTGTGAACTCCATTTCCTGCTGGCAGAAAGCCCATGCAGAGCTGCAAACACGTCAACAATTTTATTCCTATTCGTTCATTTCAAGTCTAAGCCGGGTTAGTTAGCATGCCAACATGAGCTGACCATAAAAACAAGATCAATTCTCAAACTCAGACCTTTTGAAAATGGACATTACACATCTGCTGCAAAATGGGTAGATTTATTGTGTTTCAAATCATCCTAGGAATTTCTCTGAGGATAGGTTCTGCTATTCCGCCATGACATATCTGCTGGTTTCTACCCTATGTCCATATCATGAATATCCACCAACAAGCTAGAAATGCTACCCTCGAACAATGGTTTCCAAACTAGTAGGGCTGGCGAGTTCCACAGATATGCCTCAGCAGTCCCCAGCTCTCATTTCATCAGGAGGAGGTTGCTTTCATGTACTTTTATATATTAGGTATCTACATACAGCAGTGTTAGGAGAAATACTTCTACGTGAAAATCTATTTTGGAAATGTTTCCCTTTGCCTCTCACACACCACATGCCTTTAAATATTAATTACTAATTTATTTAAATTAATTATTAATTATGTATATCTTTAAATATTAAAAATAGTTAATTCTGTCTCTATCAGAACCAGAACCCAGGTTATAATTTCTGAGTCCAAAAGTATACAGAGTACTTAGCAGCACTATCAGGAGTCAATGAGGCTGCCATGAAGTATAGCACCCACCTTCGGCCCTCTGTAAAACAGGTTTGATGAAATCTTATTAAAGGAGCCTCAAAGCATTCTGTGTCATATTCTGGTACGTTCAGTAGATGTTTATGCAGCACTGTGCCTTCATGTACTGCTGGGGCCTCATCACAAGCGCATTTGTCAAGGGCAGCAGAGGGCATTGGAAGACATACGAGATTTAGAGGAAGAGAACCTAACTTTGAATCTCACCCCACACTCACTAGCTTCACTTTCTTGTACAAGTTCCCTAACCCCTCTGAGCCTGTTCTTGATTTCTATAACAGATATAGTTATAAACAAGAAATATCTGCAGGAGAAGTTTCTAAACTAAGGTGTTATATAAATGCTAGATGATGTTACCATCATTATCTTACCATAAGAAGAATTTGTAAGAAATATCTTAAACCCATTGAAGTTGGTAAATTTGAAATAAAAAAAAAAAAACTCAAGAGATACAGAGAACAGACTGGTGGTTGCCAGAAGTGGTCATAAGGTACAAACTTTCAGTTATAAGGTAAGTCCCTGGGATGTAATATACAACATGGTGACTATAGATAACAATAGTGTGTTGTATATTTGAAAGTTGCTAAGAGAGTAAATCTTAAAAGCTCTCATCACAAGAAAGAAAACTATAACTGTGTGAGGTGATGGATGTTAATGAAACTTATTGTGGTAATCATTTTGCAATATATACATATATCAAATCATTATGTTTTACACGTTAAACTTAGACAATACTATATGTAAATTATATCTCAATAAAACTGGAAAATAAACAAAGTTGGTGAATTTTAATTTTTGAGTGAAATTATATGCATCTTTGCCATGTCATTATGTTGATTCAATGCCAGGTAGCAAGAATGACCTGCACCATAAACATGGGGCATGTAGTGAATGCAAGTCAGGACTGAGGATGAAAATCATGCGCTTTGGGAGCCTTGATGTCAATTTAGGAAACAAGTTAATGAAAGAAGTGCTCTGAATTCATTTTTCAAATAGAGTAAAAAATCTAATATACAGTATGGTGAAATAGATTTTTGATATCATGTCTTTTTTCAGTACATGAAATTTAGCATTTGAAAATTATAAAGGCCTATTCAGGTATGTGAATCTCAGTATTAAAAAATGTGAATTTCTGATCAATAAGTTGATACCTTGATATAAGATTTATAAGTGAGTATATGTTTCATTTTATTTCAGATTAAGTCTCTCAGCAAAAATCTGTGAGAAAACAGTCCTGAAGCGAGTTTTGAAAGAGCTATGGAAGCTAGTCCTTAACAAAATAGAAAAGCAGATTGTTCTCCCTCCTCTGACAGATCAAACAGTAAGCATTTAAACTAAAGGTTGATTATACTTTCAATATCTCATCTAATTGTTTTTCATTTAAGTGAATGACCTTGATCCAGATGAAATACAAATTAAATTCATTTTAGGAAAATGTGTTTGGTATACAGGGTCTGAACAATGATCATTCAAATGACCTTTTCTCATACAAATCAATTTTAAATAGTGGCAACAGCAGTCAAACTTCACGTTTACTTGACATTCAAAACTTCATCTGTTGAATAAAGTACCAAAAAGTGCAATTTATAGAGTTATCTGGTCTACACATGTAATTTTTTTTATTTAATTTTACCATGAAACCACAGGGAAATAGATTTAGTATAGAATATCCCCCCTGTGTTTCTTTCTGAAAATTTAGGGTTTAAGAAGATAAATCTAACCGAGATATATGGAATTTTTCACCTTTCCATTTTGCTTTCATCTATTAACTTCCCACCTGGAGGTTAATAGATAAGAGACCTTTTAGTAGATTTGAAGAATGTGATTGTATCACACACAGTGAAATAAAAAAGAACTAGAAAGATCAAAGCAGCAAAGTTAGACAATGGTCAATGGATACACAATGCCAGGTATCTCAGGTCCCATATCCTGAGCCAAGCAAGGAAAGAAATAACCCAACAAGCACCTGTTATGGAATAATTAACTTTTTTTCTGTACCTGAGGAAGATAAGCTGGTGCAAATAAGGAGTATTATAAACTAAACTAAAATGGGTATTGACACCATTAATCATGCACATTCAGTCCAAATTTATCCAGTGAAATTGTATGGAAAATGTTTTCTCGTAAAGGTTCCAAAATGCAAAGATACGTATGTTTTTGTCGATTTATTGCCAGACACTGAGTGGTAAAATATAAATTACTTTGAGTTTTGCTTCATGCCATGAATGTGTGGTACAATCATTGACAACCTACATATATAAGTAGCCAAATCACACATATAAACGCGCACACACACACACACACACTTTTCTGCTATAATACATAATACACTTCTCTAATACCACTTAGCTATCACATAATTGGCCAGAAGGGGAGTGAGATCAGTGTAACCTGGAAGTTGGGTTGCTTTATATGTAAATTTTCCCGTATGACAGGTTTAAGCATATGACAGAAGAGTTATAAACTTCAGCAAAAAAGGAAAGCACATTCAGCTTGGCTACTACACAGGCAGGAGCCCTTTCACCCCTATTTTTAAAAAGAAAAATCAAGGAGGAGGGTATACTTGCACATCACTTCCTATCCAGAAAGATGCGCCTTGCATGGCTCTCACACAAGGCAGGCTACCCTGTGCTCAGAGCTCCACTTGTCCGGGCATGGTCTCAGCCCACAATTGTATTCTATTGTTTTGTTGTTGTTTGTTTGGGTTTTTTTTTTGCATTTTTAATATCCCTTGAGGCAGCCACCGGCCTCACTGAGCTCCCTGCGAGCTCTCCAAGCTATCGCTTAAAGTAGCACTTACCGTTTTTGATAGTACTTTGGTAACAAAATTGCATGAGCTTTGACTGTGCTGCCCACTGCTATTTTCCACACGAGTACTTCTATTTCTAGCACACAATTTTTTTAAATATGAGGTTTTTCAAGAATACATATATCCTGTTAAGCAGAAATGCTATATATGGCATTTCATTTTTGATATAAGGTCTTCCCTAGGAAAGCTTACCATCACCCCAATTTTCTTTAGCATTGAGATCTCCAAGTATGAAGCTATATCATTCATTCATTCATTCAATACATATTCTTTGAGCTTCTACTATGTATTAGGCACCGTGTTGCAGATAAAATATGAACAAATTAGACATGGTTTCTGTTCTCATTAACTTTGTAGTGTTTAATTTCCTGGTGAATATACAAGCTCCACTAAAAAATGGAAAATATTACTCCAGAATAGCTGACTTTCCTTACTGTGAAAATATTCTAGGTTGCTAATGAATTTAGCCAAATTTAGTACTTTTCCTGTCATATTTACCAACAGACACACCTCTAGTTTTTCATTCTAGTAGTGCTTCGTGTAGTTTGTTCTGGTGTTTTTCAAACTCTTCCCAGGACCTTGGGGTTCTAGGAAAAGCCTCTGGCTGAGGGAGGAGTTAAGAGGGCAGGTCTCTGACAGATGGGACAGCGTTTCAGAAGGAGCAGCTACACCTTCTTCAGCTCTGTATTGTGAAATTTTGCACAGATTTATTTGGAGGGCGGGGAGTGAGGGAGTTTTCTCTACTCATAATAAATAAATAAAAGTTAAAGATCACTGATTTAATCTATATTCTACATTAAACTGGCTACATTAGCAGTAACCCATTCGGTAACTCAGACTTAAAACTTTCAGAAGTGGGATTCCTGTGAGGACAGTTACATTGCAAGCAGTACTAGATATCTTTGACCCAATCTGTAAGATAGACCAGTGAAGGGCATGTGGCATGAAAGTGACAAATATAAGGGAAATAAAGCAAATTCTCTATTGACCACATTTCTAAGGTAACTATTGCTGAAAATCTTAAGACTGAGTCTTCTCTCTCCTTTTCTATGTCTCTAGGGACCCCAGATGATTTTCATCGCAGCTAAAGATCTTGGACAATTATCTAAACTGAAGGTAATAAGAATAAAGAAATAACCAGTTGTCTGGGAAAAGTAATGAACTAACTGCAGCTCTGTAAGAAACCATCCTCCTACTACTAACGGTATCTAGCATGGCAGGACTAAGAGGATGTGTGTCTGTGATCGCACAATCTGAGTTAAGGATGAATCAGGTCAAAATTTAGAAACTGAATTTACTGTTTTCTTTTTTCCCCATATTTATCGTATTTTCCAATTTGATAGGGACAACTGGGAATTTTTGACTTTGTGTTGTAGCATTCAGCATTGCTGCTTTTGGAGTAAATTAGAGAACATATTTTCTTTCATATATTAACCTGGCTTTGTATGAATAAAGGCAAAATGGAATGCTTCATAGAAATCCAGTAAAGCCTATACAAGTCTTAAAGGGCAAGAAACCTAATGTAGGAAAACGAAACTCATCAAAGCAGATATTGAACTTGCCAACATATTCAACCCCATTATAATGAAGATTTGCTAACTGAATAACCCTGCCCTTTATTACTGCTTCAGATTCACAAGACTTTGCAGTTGTGTAGGGAACCTCAAGTTCTGTCCCCCTTGGATAGGAACTTGACTGGTTAAAACACATATTGTGTTTCTGTGACTGGCTTATTTCACTTAACATAATGTCCTTCAGTTTCATCCACGTTGTCATATATGGCAGGATTTCCTTCTTTTTAAAGGCTGAATAATATTCCACTGTATGTATATACCATATTTTCTTCACCTATTCATTCATCAGTGGACCACATATAGTCCATCATTGTGCCTATGGTTGAAATACATGTTGTTTTGTTCCGTTTCTACCTATTAGAATATAGTGTAGCATGGGGAGGGGTTCCAGACACAGACTACCTTGGTTCAAATTCTACCTCAACTGCTTCCAACTATGTGACACTGGCCAAAGTATTTAACCTTTTTAATCTTCAGTTTTGGCATTTGTAAAATGCAGAAAATTTTAAGATTTGGTTCATAGCACTGTTCTGAGGATAAATGAAATAATGCATATATTATCTTTACATGGTAACCGCAAAGAGTATGCCACCTCCCACTGACAGAGGGAGCTATCTTGCCTTTTCCCCCAGCTAGCAGCTCAGAGTTAGGTATCATTGGGATTGTTCTGTGTGTACAACACAAGTGGAGGATAATCCACTTGACTGCATAATTGCTTACTGAGATAAAATAGGTACCCTATAATTTCAGTACCCTATTTTATCACCTACATTATCCCCTTCCTCAGAAAAAAAACTAAAAGCCAATAATCGATTTAGAAGACATAACCATCACCTAAAGTAGTTTCTCAGGATATTCAGTGATGTTGACAGTTCAGAGGGAAGGTAGAAAGTAGATGTCACTGCCAAACTATTGTTTTGGATCTTGGATCTCTGTCCCTTTCTTTATCCGTCTTATTATCTCCCTGGGATTTCTAGTCCCTATTTTGAAAAATGGATTATACAGTGTTGAAGTTGCTCATATGAAACCATGAATGTGAAACAGCATAGTGTCTCATGACAAAAGAATTGGCCCTGGCTGTGCTTCTAGCACCTGTGTGATATTAGGAAGTACACTTCATCTCCCCGAGCTTCAGTTTCCTGAGTTGAATGTTGTATCAGCTAGAATTGTTTTCAGTTTCAAGTGATGGAAAGCCAGGCTAACATAAGCAAGGAAGGAAATTATTGCTACATGAAATTTTATAGTCCTGAGGTAACTCTGGTTTCCATCAGTGCTTGATTAGGAACTCAAACAATGTTACAGAACCCAGTTACTCACTATCTCCATTCTGCTCGTTCCTTGTTTGATGTACTGCTGTAACAAACCTCCCATCCTGTTTGTCAGATGGTTGTCTCTACTTTATAGCTAACATCCTTTGAACTTGAAATCTTGTAGAAAAGAACACCCACCTTGATGCAAGGAATTCCAGCGAAGTCCACTGGCACATCATTAGCTCTGATGGAGTATTATCACTATTCCCAAGCCAAACACTGTGGCCGGGGAGTGACATATGCCATTTGGCTTAACTCACATACCTACCCATGAGCTGGGGGTGCAGCCAGCCCTGTCCAAATCTTATGAACTCTGAGTGGGATAGAGACTGGCTCCCCAGAGGGTGTATGCATGCTAGGTGGGAAAAAACAGAGTCCACAAAAAAACATAACACTTTAGGTCCCTTTGCAGATCCAAAATTTCTATAATTCAGTGAATTCTCTTTTTATTGTAATAAACTAAAAGCAAATTATGAATAAAATGTCCTAAAAGGGTTATTTCATCAACACTGAAATAATGTGAAGGACTAAAAATAGAATCTTGTTATCTATAGATGATGGACAAATAACTTAGTTCTGAATCATATTTTTCTATTATTGGCCCTTGATCTTTTAATTGTTAAATTATTAGTCTGTTTGCTTATTATTTGAATTACAGAGCAATAAGGCCTCTATAATCTTATGCAAACAATTAAAGCTCTAGCCAGAATAATGAACTTCAAATTTTACAAAGCTGTTTTCTCTTACTTTACTAGAATTTACTTCCAATAGTTTGTTTGTTGTTGTTGTTGTTGTTTTCATTTTAAATCATGGGTCTTTACATTTTTCATGTATTCGTTTGAAAGCAAATATGATCCACTTGGAAAAATGCTATTTGAAAATAACTGTACTGATGGATAAATTCAGAAATCATATATGGAAATATTAAGAAATAACCACCTTACTTAAAAGAACACAGGATCAAGGAAAATAGAACAATGAGATGAACTAATTGTTTTTCTGCATTTGACTATGATTTACGATTAATTCCTTAAACAACTATTTATTCAGCAGTTTGACATATTCTATATTACTTCATGTTCTGGAACTTCAAAATGTATGTATATTATTTATGTCCAACTTATTACTATTTAATGGGATCAGATTTACTTGGCATGAAAGTTTTAAAAAATGAATACATCTTCATGGACAGGTGATACAATATCAAAACCAACTAATAAAAATACATATGAGACTATGAGTTTACTGCAAAGAAGTAATAACTTATTGGACAATAACTCATTGCCAGCCTCTTTTAGAGACTCCCTCATTTGAATGAGATACTGTTAAATCCCAGAAAATTATTCCTTGCAAGAATTATATTTTTCTATAGCACCAACATATATTATTTATTACCATCTATTAAAAAATAATGTGACCACATTGTAACATCAGTCAAGATGATGAAGCCAAAGAGATTTATTTAATATAAAATGTTTGTACTTACTTGCCCTAAAGCATTTCCCCCTATAATCTGGCAAACGTTTCCCATTACTCTTTGAGTCTCAATGAGTATTTAATATTCCTATTGTAAAAATATTAAATTGACTCTTGTGTTTGAGTTGAAATCGGTGTGTCAGAGAAGGATGCAGTGAGATGCAGAAGTGTATAATGTGGATCCATGAAGCATTATACTATGTTTTCAACAATATTCAAAGGAGTATGATTTCATTCAAGCACATTGAGCACTACAAGATATGTGGAAGGAAGTACAATTCAGTTATCCAAAATATATTGAGTCCCTAACAGGTGATAATTGCCAAGATAGACACTGAAAGACTACAGAAGTGAGTAGAACATAGATAGAGATTATCTTTAGGAAGTCAAGGCATCCACTAAATATCAGAAAAAGAAAAGGCTAGAATAGAAGGATGAGCCACTGGATGTGATTGCATAATTTGTGCATTGCACAAAATTGCCCAGCAAAGGGAATGAATGATGGCCGAAATATAGCCCATGATCCACTTGCCAAGCCATATGTGCTGATGTGGAACTGTGCTCCATGGAAAAAGAGGCAGCTTTATTACTGACCAAAGGCCCTTATCCATTACTCAAGCCATGCGTTCTCAGAGCTATGTCCACCTATATGGGCTTTTCCTCTAATTCACACAAATACACCTATATAAGTTAGAATTTAAGCTCCAAGAGGACAAAATTCTTTCTTTTATTGAACAATATATCTCAATCACCTAGAACAGTACTGACACATAATAAGCTCTCAATAAATGTTTGTTGATGTTGTTGACTAGAATAGTGGCAGCCCTGGGGAGATTTTATCAATTCGGGGGGTCAGGAATTTTTAAATTTTTCTCTTAGACAAATTTCTATTTCCTTTATTATTTTCTTCAACTTTTTACCATTATTTCCCTAAAGAAGCTTTGAATGATGAGACAGTACACAGTGAACAATGAGGAAAATCCATGGTAAATATGGAAATCAGTTCTAACATATGTTCTAAAATATGGCAAAATTATTTTAAAATATTGAAAATCTCCAGAGCCAAATTCACTTAACTTTTCAGGGCTTTTCCTAGTAATGATTAGGAATTATGGGGATCCAAGAAAGAGAATAAATTGGGGGCATTATACTTATAGTAGACTTTATCAGCAGTAATTGAAAGAGGCTAGAATTCACCTCTTAAATCCCTTTTATGATTGACCTTCCTCATTGTGACAAAACATAAAGCAAGGAATTAAAGTGAAAAAGCTTTGACACACATTTTCTAGATTTCTCTCTTTTTTTCCTAACATTAACTTGCAAGTGAAAAATAAAGCCATGTATGAATCAAAGTACTGCTCTTTAACAAAACATTTAGCATTTCTTCTTTTGGCAAAACAGATATTTATTAAATATGACAAAATAATCATCTGAAATGTGTCCATATGAAGAAGATACTTTAAATGGGAAATGTTTGCATATGGAGATTACACAGATTTCCTTTGCAAATAGTTGTTAAATAAATGAATTGGTTACTGTATGATCAATTGTTAACCTGTTTTCCAGGAGCACATGATTCGAGAAGATGCCAAGGGTCTGACACCAAGACAGTGCGCTATAATGGAGGTGGTCCTGGCTACCATCAAGGTAAGGTTATAGTGCCTCTGGATATGCATCCAGAGTCCTCTGTGTACCCTCAGAGAAAGGTACCCCAGATGCATATCTGTAGAGCTGTGGCATCCATAGATATAGTAGACACTTGTATAGATACATTCCCGAGGTGTGTCAGACTTAGCCCATACTGTGTCCTTATTACATCCATATTACTCTGCCCTTATACTTGCTTTCTTTGTCTGTCTCTAGAAAATATGTGTGAAACCTATGTTGTAACATGTGTTTTCAAAGAAAGGCATGTACCCAAGGCCCAGTTAAGCAGATGCTTCGGGGGTCTTGGGGCTAACAGAATTTCTTTTTATGTTTTCTATGCTTGTTGAAATGATTTTTCAAAGATCAATCTTCTCTTCTCTCTTAGTAAGTGCAGTAATTTAATTTTCTGCTGAAAGCTCAAAGGCATTGAGTTGTGTGCATCAATTTTTCATAGCCAAAGGTTGACCAAATGTTATTGTAGTGTGGGCTAAATATGGGCAGGTCTCAAAATGTGACTTAGAAAGAAGTTCTCTCTTTTCATATAACTCTTTATATATTTATATACATACATGTATTTTTATGTGAAAGTTTATTAAAGAGTGAAAAATTAATTTATCTCCTAAATTTAAACCATGTCCAATGTCTCCACTCTTCACTGGGGGAAGCATCTGTTATCCAAGATGTGTGAACAGTTTTGCAAAGAGTTAGCTACCACGAGCCATTTTTAGAGCCCAGAATAGTCTCCCTGGATAGAAACAGAGATTACAGTGGTATTCATTAAAATGGAGTTCTACTTGTATAACAATTGGACACCTTCACAAAATTATTACCTCATGGCTTTTGTTTTGCAGTTTCAGCATTTAATAAGAGACTATCTTTTGCTGCTTCAATGTCAAAAATTGCAAAACAAAAGTTGTGAGGTGAGAATTTTGTAACACCTGGTGGAAACTGGAGTGTGTGAACTTAGGGCAGTGAGGTTACAGAAATGGAGTTTTTAGAGATGCAGCAAGAGTTTTTTCTGGAAGTATGGAAATTTTCCAAAATAATTTTGAGGGAAAAAATGGAAAACATGAAAAAGAAATACAGGAAAAAAAGGCAAAGCCAGTTCTTTTTAAAAATTATTTTCAAGAATATGAATGAGAAATGATTGACCTTTGGAGTTACAGCAGCACTAATGGCTACATATAGGGAAATGCTAGCAAACAATAATAACTCTGGAGTGCACCACGATGGGGAAAAAAGTAAAATTTTTGGAATTTGTCTTCAGCGCTTCATGAATTTTATTAGATCAATGCATGACTTTAAGAAAATGAAAATGTGTTCTATGAAAATAGGGAACGGCATTCAATGTGTTAACAGATCTAGCTTCTGTCCTCAACCCTAAAATTTCTCTAATGCCTCTTGGTGAGAACACTTGACCTCTACCTGAAGGCCAAATTCTGCCCAAACTCTCGGACAATCCTGATCACCCAGCAAATCCCCCTATCTACATTGTGATAGTTGAGCTGTCCCATTTTCCTGTCCAGATCATTTGTGATGATCTTTTAATTCAGCCTCAGCCACCAGACACTTGCCTTGCTCTTTAGGAAAAAACTACTGTCTGGTGTCCAAGATCCAGTAAATGGGTCCATGTCCTTCTCTCATTCCTCCAGTACCAGAGTCTACCCTGGTCCTCCTGAGCCTCAGAGCCTGCGACCAGGTATAGGCCCTCTATTCCCCAATGTCTATGATGCCAACTCTTTCTCTGGGGTCTCCATGCTACACCTGCTGTGCCTGATCAGATTCTCTTGTCCCTGTGGTCTGCCCATCTGACAAGGCCTTCACCTCATGCCTGCTTTCAATGGCCCTGTCATCAGTTTGCCAAAGCTGGGGCCCCTTTTATCTTGTCTGCATCTGAGATTTGCCTGAATGACTGTCCTACCAAGCACTAATTTTGATGTTGACTACAAAGGAATTCAGGAGAAAGAGAAATACTACTTAAAAGAATTGCAGCACCAAGAGGTAGTGATTCAATGTCTGCCTGGAGCCCAGAAAATGGAACACCTGTAAGGCAGCAGAGACCTCGTGAGAAAGATGTTCTTAGACCAAAGCAGCAGATGCTGTTCAAGCTAACTCCCAAAGTCTGCCAAAGAGACGATCCTTAATTCCTCTTCAGCTCACTTTAAGCAAATAACCTGGAAGTGAGAAATGAGGAAGGAGAATGCTATGGAGTTTGTAGACTATAGACTGAAATAGTGTTCTGCATTCTTACAAAAATCTTTCATGTATGTACATCATCTTGCCTGATCCTTATAAACCCGTGTTTATATTAGGTATGTCACATTTTATGAATGAAAAAGCAGAGGCTAAGTAGGTGTAAGTTGTTTGTCTCAGGCCATGAAGTTGCTAGTAATTGGCAGAGCTGAGAAAGGACTCCAAACTCTAAAATCACTGTCCTTGCTTCCACGTCACATTATTTCACTAAACGTTAACAAAGTGTAGGTAAAATGTAGCAGGCCAAAATGGATAATATTTCTGCTGAGAGATTAGTTCTTTCTAAATTAAAATACCATATTTCACCTATTTAAATTATTTTCTAATTATTTAAAAATAATTTAAAATCCTTCAACTGCTGCACAAGTGTTGATAAAAATATTAACTCTCTTAATTACTAAAATTTTAATTGGACTGGACTATTTTGTCATACCAGTCACGTGTAGTTTCAATTATAAGTCAAAAGGGTAGAAAAAGGCACGAAGAACAGAAATTATAATGATCTGCTGCAGCTAGCTTGGTTGGGCTTTGAGACATTCCATTCACCTGCCATCAGGCAGCCAAATCAGTAATATTTGAAAATAAAAGTAGAAAGGTGACAGCTATGAGACAGAGAGCCAACAACTTAGTATGTGCAAACTAATGGAGAGGCCAATAAGGTAACCCTAGTTTGAAGGGGCCTAGTAGAGATTTTGAGTCTCAGACCCATATCTCAGAAAGACTCGGGACTGCTATGGGATCCTCTGAAATGTAGGTTTCTTTCAAAGAGAAACAGGAGACCTTTTTCCAACAGAAGGTACTCTTGACCTGAGCATGAATCCCAAGACTTAAGAAAATTCTTAAATCTTGCACAATCCTCAAGTTATTTTCTGATGAAGTTTAAAATACCCAGAAAAAATTCTGGCTGATTTTATTTTTTCCCACCCTTCCAAATTCCCCTGGAGCACTTGTTATTTGGACCTGAACATGACATTGAGCAATGTATGTTGCAGATGTATTTGACATCATGCTGTGGCAATACAGAGGTTTCTCTAAAAATAATAAGCGTGTGGATCAGGGCGCTCTAGAAATCTGTATTTCTTAGTATAAAGGAGAGAATTTGAATTAAATATGAATATCTATTCAAATATAGCTTTGGAATTTACTTATTACTTTCTTATTTAATCCTAGATGACACCATTTCTGGTGCTCAGGATTCCGGGCAAATAACAGGATTCCAGCCAAATAACAGGATATGTGAGGATATATGCCCCTGAGGCTCTTACCCTGACTGAGCTCCTACCCCATCCTCTATCCATTATTCACGAGGCAATTTGGGTGGCTGCTTCTCAGCATCTTCTTTTTTATCATGATAAATATAGTTTTGCATTATTTAAAATTCAGCTGCTCATGGAAAGAACAAAATGACATACCTAGTTTGGAATACTGCAATTCAAAAATCATTATTTGAGAGCTTACTGTATGTAGAAAATATGGTGAGCAATGAAGAGGTGGCTGGAGATAAGAGAGATCTTGTTCTTGACTTATGAATAAAAACATCTACAATTGATAAAAGAGTCGTGGACAAAGTGCTGGAGAGTGCAGAGAGGGTGATAAATTCTCTGTAGGTGTCGAGGAGAAAGCTTCCTGGAGAGGGAAGTTTTGGGGTTTGGAGGATAGATTGGGCAAAAGAAAGGGGAAAGTCTTTGCAGGCTTAGAGAAAAGCATGGTGAAATGGAAGAAGGTGTGGGTCAGCCTGAAAATTTCCAATAGTCTGGTGTAGAGGAACAGATCATTACTGGTTAAGTATTATAGGGACTAAAAGAGGAACATTAGATTGGAGCCAAAATGCTGAGGCTTAAACACCAAAGTAAAGAAGCGGAACTTCAGTTTGTTGGCAAAAGGGAGGGAGTAGCATATTCTGATCCAATGTGTAAAAGAGGTCTCCAGTTTGGGTAGAAAATAATTTCTAAAATATCTATCAAATAACTTCTTTTAGAAAAAGTAAACTTCAATTGTTAAAGGCAGGTTATGATTGTATCTAAGTTTGCAAAATGAATCGTCTGCATGGATTTTCCGAAAGTATGATATAGGTATTGGAAGGAAAAAAAGTGATGATTCGAAACTGCTACCAAAATAGTATATGTAACCAAAAAGTAAATTCTTCCTGCTAACTTGTAAAGAAACAGGACATGTTCCCACCAGTCAGCAAAAATAGATTGTGAAAGATCTTCAAATATATGTCAAATATGAAGAATTAGAAGAATTTTAGGGAGTTTTTATTGGGATTATAAAAAGGAATGGCTTGCCAAGCATGCAGACAACATTTATCCTGATTTTTTATTTAGTAGTACTGTTTTTTTCTCATCATCACAACCAGGTCAGTTTCATGAAGAATACAAGAGACAGAAAAAAATCTCTCTGGTTATTTTTCAAGATAATGATACTTCATACATACTCTTTCCAACCCCCATTCAGTTGTAATAATAGTGCTTCTCACCACCCACCCTTACATTAGTGAAGCCAATGTATTACTATATTAGGTTGAAGCCTTTACAAATATCAGAATATGGATATGAATACAAATATAAATAAAATATTTAAAACTACATGGGGAATTATACCACTGGCAATTAGAGTATCAGGCAAGTGGATGATTAAGAAAGAGAGAGAAACCAGAGTATGCGAGTTAGTCTCCTCTCCTATGGGAATTATAATAGGATTTAAGGGATTATTGCCAGAAAATTAAATGAGTTATGACAGATAAA